TGGCCCAGAGATTTACCAAGTAGAATTTTTTATTGTAGAAAATATATCACTTTTTAACTGTTCAAAGTTTATATTTAATCTTATTTACCATCCAGAAAAGTTACATTACAGCAGCTATTAAGAGGAAATCCCCCAGGTGTAACCCCCCTGTCATTGAAGTTAAAAAACAAAAAAAAAACAGCTTGTCATTTCACTGAGAACCCAGAAAGTGTAAAGTCCACTGTCCCAAAAACTCTTCCGTGTCGGGTAACTTATTGACTCTTACAATGTGCTGACAAATGAGACTCCACAACTGAATTTACACAAATGGACCTGTTCAAAGGTTTACATACGATTTTTCATTTTGCAGATTCTGCAAGGCATATGTAAATTTATAACCTGAATTGATTGTACATTAAACGTCCATCATACAATCATTCCTTTTACAGCCAGAACAACTGTCAGAGCTGCTGTTATAGAAACTCAATGCATATGTTCTGACCAATCAGATTTAAGAATTTAACTGCATGGTGTCACATAATGGAGGCACAGACAGAAGCAAGTGCAGGTATGGCAGTTTAATAAAACAACAGCAAGTCCATGGGATAAGGGAGAAGTCAGTCATCATAAACAGGCAGAGGTCAGGTGATCAGGCATACAGTACAAACAAGGCAGGGCAACTGAGACACAAGGCAACTGAGCGTATACTTCGCAATTAGATGAGTGAATAAGAGTCTCTTAAAAGGAGAAGTGTGATTATGTGTCTCTATTTGGAACTCTGGGGATGGTTAACATTAAATGCCTTGTTCCTTGATAAAATACCTTGATAACAATTATAATGTGGCATTCTTTAATAAATAAAATGTTTTTATAATGGCATAAGAGGAATAAAACAGCTTAGGATAAGATGTTATAATAAAATTAAAATATACAGGCTGTAACAGTAAGTCCACTTTGTGTCATGACCCTATCTCATAACATGTGATAACTGTAATGAAATCTTTAGTCAAAGTTTTTTGTAAATTACTCTAAATCTTTAACTTGCCCTTTCAGAGATTGTACTATATTTTTAGAGAGAAGACAATCAACAATCAGTTTTGGTCTGAAGTTGGTCTGAAAACTACAGTTCTAGTTGTGTCTCATTCATGTCTCACCCTTTTCTAAGACAATTACTGTTTAAGTGTAATGGTTGTTGTTTTGAATTTGTGTTACATAGCTATTGTATAGCTATTGTATGAACTATTGTCCATCCATCCATCCATCCATCTTCAACCGCTTACTCCTTTTCAGGGTCATGGGGAACCTGGAGCCAATCCCAGGAAGCTATTGTATAGTTTGGAAATTCAACAACTGCCCTTTGACAATAATTTTATTGAAATCTACATTGATTTAATGGGACAATTCCAAGAACTCACAGTTCCAATTATAACTGGATTCACTACCTTCAAGTCCTACAATGATATAATCTCCTGGGAGTAAAATGTTAGCAGAAAGCACTAGGAGGCCTGCAAAGGTTTGTCAGTGCTCCTCTATTCTTTCAATAGCCTCCACACTCCACCCCCCACCTCTCACCCCACTGGCACTGACCTTTCCATTCACCTCCTCCGCTCGCCTACCGACGCCTCAGCAGTCCCTGATTCAGTAAGCACCTTTTAATTTTCACATGAACAGCACTCCTGCTCATAAAATCCCTGGCGTGTGTTGTTTACGATTAGCAGAACATTTGAGTTTGAACAATGTTGCTCTTTTCAGATCTTGCTCTTTTCAGCACATTTAAATGTCATGTTTCAAGTAATAATCTGTAAAAGCCAGCCTGGCACACAGAGAGAAAAAGATTAGACAATGGAAGGAAAAAAAAATTATTTTTTTATTTTTTTTTGTTATTATTTATGGGTTTTTTTTTTTTTGTGGTAATATTATAGTGGGGGTTTTTTTTTTTAAAAATCCAAGGGGCTGCATGTACTGTAGTTATGAAGTCACAGATATCCCCGAAAATCTGAAAAGCTGAAAGCTTCTGCATACTGCATGAACTGCTTCAGCCTGAGATCAACTTGGCAACCTCAGACCACAGCCCCCCAAGCCTGGTCCTGCCCACTATCCCTGGCAAGCCTTTCTCAGCCCTGCCACCAATTCAATTCAGTTTATTTGTTTAGCACTTTTAACAATGGACATTGCCCCAAAACAGCTTTAAATGAATATATAAATTCTGGATATAGATTTTAAATGTATGACTTCATCCCTAATGAGCAAGAAAGAGGCGACGGTGGCAAGGAAAAACCCCCTGAGACGATATGAGGAAGAAACCTTGAGAGGAACCAGACTCAAACGGGAACCCGTTCTCATGTGGGTGACACCAGATAGCACCAGAGTCAGAGAGTCTACAATGCAGTCACCTACAAAACTACAATTTGAAGTCACCATGTATTCTCCAACCTTATCAGGCATTATAGGAGAAGACTCAGAGCTGTTATCTTGGCAAAGGGAGGTAGCACAAAGTTTTGACTAAAAGGATCTCAATATTTGTTGCACACCTATATTTAACAAATATATATATTTTGATATCCATGAGAGCAGAGCATTTTTGTGAATTTTTGGAACAAAAGCTGCAAAGTTTAAAAAATAGAGACAATTTTTCAGAGCCTTCTTTGCTCATATTCACCAAGGGTACCAATGTCAGTGGAAGGCACCGTATTTGTGTTAACACTGCTCTTTAAATTAGAAACACATCTACTGCATTTCACTGGCACACACCACAAACCAACATGTGTTATTTGACTCATTTTTACAAAATCCTCATAGCCCTTTGTAAGTAAATACTTTTTGCATGCATTTTTATACACATAAACATATAGAAAATAAGGGATTCTAACCAATAACATTCTTGCTTTTTGAAACCAATATGGATGTGTGGAGTTAACGTGATGAACAAACAATATTAGTTACATACCAATCTTTAGTCACAATGTACATTGGCTTGAATAATGATTTATTAGAATATTAATGGAGTACTACACCTGGTTTTATGTTTGCACTGTGATAAGAGAGATGCTTGCACAGAGTAGAGGTTCTCACTTACCTCAGTGATGGTGTTGATTGAGTGATGGTGATGATGATGGTCCATCAACGTTAATGGAGAAGGACAAAGCTTTCAGGAAGTCAGTAAATTTCTGGGAAACAGTAATAGAGCATAGGTATAATATATCAACTTGAAAGTACACCTCGCACATGGGGTGATGCTGGTTTAGTTGAAACACTGAGTGTTCACTTTCTTTAGAAAGTTTCCACAAGCTGTTTTTTATTCAGCTTTGTTAACTCTGAAAGTTTCTCTGGATTTTGGGAATTATTTGCTACAACTGAAACAGACTTTCTTCCCCCAAGGGTTATCAGTCGAAGAAGTTATACTTCTCTATAAACATATTCTCATTGATTGAAGGATTCATCCACTGATGCTTGTGATTAAACTGGCATTGAGGTATTGACTTTTCCAAATCCAACTTTCATTTGCAAAAATTGATAAAGAGCACACTGCACTGCAGTAAACCGCATGCGCTCCTGGTAAGCTTGAATAATTCTGCAATAATGAACTGTCAAACATTTAATTCTTCACCAGATTCCTTAAAACTCTAAATTGACTTTTTTTTTTTTTGAAGACAAGTAGTGGAACCAAACTCTGTCAAAATACCTGGATGATGCATAAGAGTACCTGAGGCTGAATATATTTGAGGATTTTAATGACAAAGACACCTGTCAAAGTGCTAAAAACAAATTACTTTTTTATATTGGCATTAGAAGCACCCCTTGAGTGTGTGAATATATGCATAGCAATTCACTGGCAGCTGCAGGCTTCATGAATTTAATGAAATGTAATGGGATGGCCATGATGGCATTTTAAAAAGGAGAACTTGGAGAACAAGTTGGTACAATTTAGCATTTGATTGGCTAGATAGGATTGATTAAATATACATGAAAACCTGATATTGTAGTGGCCTGGAAGTAAATTTCTTCCGACAACCATTCAAATAAAAGCTACGATGTACATATCAGCTACAGCTAGTACAGCAAATAAATATTTCAATTGCTTCAATGAGATAAGAGCAAAACTACTTAAGAACAGCAACAACATTACCTGTAATCATTGATGTTTTCTTGCTGCTAAGACGTCAGCTAAGATCAGCTATACATTCTCCTCCAGTGCCCCCAAGGCAAATCTAATCCCATTTTCAACCTGGAACATTCCTGAAAGCCCAGATGTGATCTGTGAGATGTGCAAAGTAAATAACTAACTAAAAAACATGCTAATAGCCAATTTGGCTTGAGACCAAAAGATTACATATATCTAGACATTCAAGCTCAATTTTTCAAATACATTACTAGTATAAGGTTAGTTCAGGTATGTACTTTATGGTTAGTTCCAAAAATATTACTGGAGACACAAATTTATTATTTCAGCTTTTATTAACTATAAAATTTTTTAACAGGTCACAAGTTCACATACACTTTATTAGTAGTTGCTATGGCCTTATTATTGCTTGAAAATGAATCAAATGCTTGGGTAACCTTCTACAGGCTTCTAAGAAGAATTTTTGCCCATTCCTCCTGACAGAACTGGTATAACTCAGTCTCACTGAGTATAACTGGTATAACTCATGGTTTTTAGTTCGATCCATACATTTTCTATGGGATTCAGATCTTTGTGATGGCCTCTCCAATGGGGGCAGTGGTGGCTTAACGGTTAAGGCTTTGGGTTACTGATCGGAAGGTCTTTAGTACTTGATGCATCCAACTCCTTCACCAGTTTCTTTGTTATTATCTCAGGGTTCCTTTTGGACCAAAATTTATTTATCTCTGGGAGTTAATTTGTGTCTATTTTTCTGAAAGAGGCGGTGTCTGTGTGGTCCCAAGATTTATATAACTGCATACAATTGTTTGTACATCGTACATGGTACCTTCAGAAAATGAAGAAGGACCTCATAAGGAAGAACCAGAATTGTGGACCACAGATAAAAGCATTAGATATAAGGGGCACTGTGGCTTAGTGGTTAGGACATTTGCCTTGTATGTTAAGGGTTCGATTCCTGCCTCTGCCTTGTGTGTGCAGAGATTGCATTTTCTCCCTGTGCTTCAGGGTACTCCGTTTTCCTCCCCTAGATCAAAAACATGCATTGTAGGCTGATTGGCATTTCCAAATTGTCCGTAGTGAATGGGTGTGTGTGATTGTACCCTGCGATTGGTTGGCACCCCATCTAGGATATCCCCTGCCTTGTGCCCCGAGTCCCTTGGGATAGGCTCCAGGATGGATAAACTAATTTATCAAGAGCAAAGCAAGTTAACAAACATGCTCTGGTTTCCATGCGCACAATAAACAATAACATTTAAGTATGTGCATTTTGGAATTGAAAACCTTTCTTCATAATCATTAGAGCATAAGCCATGACACTCAGGTAAAACAACATAGAAAATAAATAAAAAAAACCCCCCAAAAAAAAACACAACCAAGTATTTTACAGCATCAATTTAGGTAAAACAGGTGCTAATTCAATTCACTGAAGTGCAGTAGGTTTTGAGATTCAGTGGTTATGTGTAAAGTGTGAATGTGGAGATCAAGGCGGACCATCCCCTACTCTGATGTTTAAATCAAAGGTCAGTGTTGCAGTGGTTCCCTCACAGGAACACAGGATTTGATGGGAATACATTGCAGGGCACCATGTACATATTCAGACATATTCATTTACATTTACATTTACATTTATTCACTTAGGAGACGCTTTTATCCTAAGCGACTTACAAATGAGAAAAAATACAAGCAAAGCGATATATCAAGCAGAGAACAATACAAGTAGTGCTACCATACAAGATCTGTTAATTGAGTTCCAGAAGAAATTCACACAATCATATTGGCACAATCATTTACACCTAGGTTGCGCAGGCATTCCTTCATTATTACAAATTAGGTTACAAAAAAAGTTAAAGTTTAAGATATTAAAAGTGTACAAAATAAAAATCATTTCAGTTAGAAAATCCATTCTTTTCCCCAGACACCTGCTCTTTTAATGCAATTATCCAACCAGCAAATAATGCAGCACAATGTCGAGTATAAAATCATACAGAGACAGGTCAAGAGCTTCGGTTACTGTTCACAAAACGTGATCTCAGAGACTTGGAAAGGTTTTGGTGCCTGATGGGCTGCTTTGAGTATTTCAGAAATTGCTGGTCCCCTGACATCTTCACACACAACAGTCTTATAAGTTTAAGCAGAATGGTACAAAGAAATCCACAAACAAAAACACAAACAAACAAACAAACAAACAAACAAAAAACTTCCAATGTTCTGCAGACAGAAATGCCTTGTTGATGAGAGAGGTCAGAGGAGAATGGGTCAAACTGTTTGAGCTGACAGGAAGACTATGGTAACTTCTATAAACACTCTTTACAACTGTGGTGAGCAGAAAAGCATCTGAGTACACACAGCACATCAAAGCTTGAGGTGGATGAGCTTCAACCACCAAACACTACATTAGGATCCACTCCTGTCAGACAAGAACAGGAATCTGAGTCAACAACGGTCACAGGCTCACCAAAACTGGACAGTTGAAGATTGGAAACATTTTCCAGTGTGGTGATGCTGTGATCACTTTAGCCTCAGATACACTACCAAATCCAAAGTGGTCATGAGGAAAAGTTCTTTTCTAAAGATTTTTTCTATTGCTTTTGAATCACTGTTGCAGGTATGTTTCCATCATTGCCTCTCAGTCAATGATTTGAGCTTTTCTTTTAAACATTATCAGTGTGAAATTGAATCATACAAAAATATATATATATATATTATTTGGATTAGGCAAACAATAAAATAAAATAAAAAGTTCTACATATTTGAGCGTTTAACCCTGAGTACACCTGCAATTATGCCAAGAATGACCATCTCAGGAGAAAGGAATCAATGTCCTGTGAACACATACACACATGTAGTGGTCAATAGGAGAGAAATAGAGAGAAACAGAGACCGATAGACTGACAGAGAGAACAGATCATGCATTATTCAACACCAGCAAACATATTGCCTGTCAGCAGGATGTTGCAAACAGACAGGTCCAGGTGGATTAAAAAGAAGGGACAAAATGTAAAAAAAAAACAACACAAACAAACTGCGAGAAACTGAAAATGTAATGGATCGAATGACACAGCGGGGCTCTAAATGCATTTGTTTGGCAATATGAAAGAATGTGTGTGTAATGTGAGCAGAGAAAAGGATCAGAGGGAGGGAAAAGATCACAGGTGCCGCAGTTGAAAGTGGGAAATGAGATATAAAAACACCATTAGCCAGAAAGCTGCAAATTGGAGATGCATGGCTGCCTTGTCTGAGAATACTGAGGCTATTACTGCATTTTTATTCACTGCATTTTCTGTTCTCTTCCAGTGTTCTCTACAGGAGTGCTCGCTTTATGGCACAGCCTTATCAAGGGGTATACTATAGTCCTTTTTGCTGGCACAATCACAGCAATTACAGCATGTTGATTATAGAAATGAATCCGTTTAGGATTGAGCAGAGTAGATAGACACGAGTTCCCTGGTGGTAGCACACATCCACATAGGCACATTGCTGCTGATAATCTCTATAAGCTTATAAAACACCAGCTTGCTGAATGAACACAAGCAATCTAAACAGGATTTTAAAGTTAATATTCACATCAAACTTTCGAATGCAGGAAAACCATGATCTGAGTGACTTTAATAGGATAGGGGTGAATTGAAAAAACATCACCTTTTTCTAATCTTCAACCGTCTATTTTAGGTGGATCTGTGTACAATGTAACGTCAGATTCCTGTTTTTGGCTGACAGGAGTGGAATCCCATGTGGTCTTCTGTAGTTGTAGCCCATCCACCTCAAGTTTTGACATGTTGTGTGATTTGAGATGCTTTTCTGCTCACCATGGTTGTAAAGAGTGCTCATTTCAGCTACTGTATAATTATTGTCAGAACCATTCTGACCATCCTCTCCTGCCCTCTCTCATCAACAAGGCATTTCTACTTCTAGAACTGCGTCTCAATTGCTGTTTTTTGTTTTTCCACACCATTCTATGTAATCTCTAGAGCAGTGGTCACTAATCCTCTTCCTTGAGATCTACCTTCCTACAGGTTTCACCTCCAGCCAAAATCTAACGCAGTTGCTTTAGTTGATTAAGAACTTCTTAAGGCAGTGATTAGATGGTCAGGTGGGCACGATTATGGTTGGAGCTAAAGTCTTCAGGAAAGTAGATCTCCAGGAACAGGGTTGGTGACCACTGGTCTAGGGAACGCTGTGTGTGGAAATCCCAGATCCCCAGTTTCTGAAATACATCTCTATACATGTCTATTACAAACAACAATGCCATAGTCAAAGTCAGTGAGATCACATTTTCCCACCATTTTGATGTGTGACAAGAACATTAACTGAAACTCTAGAGCTGTATCAGCATGATTTTATGCACTGCACTACTGCCAAACGATTGGCTGAATTGCATGAATGAGCAGCTGCACAGATGTTCCTTCAAAAGTGGGCGGTGAGTAAAAATTTCCCTTTGATGGTCTGTGTGCTTTTAAGTAAAAACCCTGAAAATGGAAGGGCCTTGAACATAATTGCATTTGCACAGTGTGACATGGAATGAAATGTGAAATTATGTACATACATTAGGATTCTTTCACTTCCTACATAGAGCAGCAATTCCATTTTAGCCACAAAGGATACCATCACTAGGGTTGGCTAGAGAGCAATATGATATCTGAGGGGAAATAATGGAAAATTAATGGAAGAAATGCTTTTTATTGTTAAACACATCAAAGGACTACAATTAATATCCAGAAAAGTGTATACAGTATGTAATCAGTGGTCTGTTACCTAGTGTGTGCACCCATTCTGTGTGCAGCTTTTGATTAGTTTGTTTATTTATATACTCCTGTATCTTTGCCTAATTACGAAGTCTTATGAGGAATTTCTCAATACATCATTACATCCAGGTCTTGTCTTTTGGTTTCCATGTTCTGTGTTTCTGAGTTTTGTCCCTCACCAATTCCACTCCTTCTTTCTTTCTTTCTTTCTTTCTTTCTTTCTTTCTTTCTTTCTTTCTTTCTTTCTTTCTTTCTTTCTTTCTTTTTTGTTGTTGAAATGATGAATATTCCTTCTTTGATCTGTGTTATGAACCATGATTATTGGACTAGCTCTAATAAACAACACTTTGAGTAGACGCACTTTCATCCTGCATTCACTTATCATGTGTTACACCTATCTGGTATTACAGGTGTTGAACAAACAAACACTAACTGCACGGCTCTGGCTGTCATCTCTGCTGAAGGGGCTCGATCAGAGTTGTTCTCTATGGTTTTATCTGTTGGAGTGGCATTGTTGTTTTCATCCTTATCCTCTCATCCTTATCCTTCGTGTTGGTATACAGTGCCTTCCACTAATATTGGCACCCTTGGTAAATATGAGCAAAGAAGGCTATGAAAAATTGTCTTTATTGTTTAACCTTTTGATCTTTTGTTGCAAAAAAAAAAATCACACACATTCTCTGCTCTCATGGATATCAAACAACTGCAAACAAAACACAGGTTTATCAACAAAAAAAACTTTGTTAAATTGATAGTTCTTTGTTAAGTTTTCTTGCAGAGGCAGTCGGGTTTTCATTTAATATCTGTTGATATTTGATGGAGTCCATGATGCCATGTATGAGTTTAATCAATAAATAATTAATAAAGACGTGGTGCCATGGGTTGATCTGGTAACTGCTTCACATCTCCAGGCTCCCTGGTTTGATCCCGAATGTGGGTTATTGGGTCTGTGTGGAGTTTTTGTTTATGATCTTCTCCTGTAGTTTCCCCCAGGTTTTCTGTTTCCTCCCAATTCCCAGAAACATGCTAATAGGTGAACTGGCGTCACCAAATTTTCCCTAGGTGTGAATGATAGCGCTAGATTCAGGACATTCAAGCAATGGTGCACATTGTTTAAACTTATGTAAAGATTTTTTTTTTTATGTTTTTGCTTTTAAAAGTTACTGCTGTGGGAAAAGTTTAATGACTGAAAGATGTTCAAGGGCAAAAAAAAATATATATAAAT